GTTGTCTTCATCAAGTAATTTTTAAGGTCTTTCTCTTCTGGCTCATCTGCGTTGGTCTTTTCAGGAGGGCTGGTGTGGAGTCCCTACACTCTGGTGGTGTCACACTTGTCTTTCTGTCTTTGAGTGTGTTCTTATACTGTTGCCTTCCCATCCCTTCTTCGAGTGGGTGCAGGTGGGGGTCTCTCCCTCTCCTCTAGTTTCCCGGTGGTGTAGATGGGCCAAGATTTCAGTGTTAATAACTGTGGATGGTCTGGCTTCTCCTGCTGTTCTCCTCACTCAAGGAAAGGGTGTGGGGGGGGCAAGACTCAAGTGGAGGGAGGAAGTTGGAGAGCATATGGGGGCCAAGATGAGGTGTGGCCAGACTCTGGGTGGTGCATTCTGCCAGGGCAGGTCCACTAGAGCGGAGCAGACCCAGCATGCTCTGAGTGGGGTATGGACAGAGATCCCACACTCATCCCGAGGAGAGGGCTGAGGGCAGAGGGGACCTTTTTTTTTGAAGATTTATTTTATGTGGATTGGTGTTTTGCCTGCCTGTGTGTCTGTCTGAGGGTGCCAGATTGCCTGGAACTGGAGTTACAGACAGTTGTGAACTGCCATGGGGGTGCTGGGAATAGAACCCAGGTCTCTGGAAGAGGAGCCAGTGCTCTTAATCAGTGAACCATCTCTCCAGCCCTACTCTTATTTCTTTTATTTTTATGTGTTTTGGTTTTTGAGCCAGGGTTTCTCTGTGTAACTTTGGCTGTTCTTGAGCTCATGTTGTAGACCAGGCTGTCCTTGAAATCACAGAGATCTGTCTGCCTCTGCCTCCCAGCCTCCCAAGTGCCACCATACCTAGCTACTCTTATTTCTTTTGTAAGGACTTTTCTCTATCCTTTTTCTTTTCTTTCTTTTTTTTTTTTTTTGGTTTTTACGAGACAGGGTTTCTCTGTATTGTTTTGGAGGCTATCGGTCCAGGCCGGCCTCGAACTCTATCCTTTTTCTTATCTTTCCCAAGATTACGTATATTCTTAAACACACTGTAAACCATTTAGAGGTTTTTCATCATGTGAATCAGTCTTTACTGTATATCTCTGTTTTTCTCGCCACGAGTCTTTAATCTGCTAAACAGCACGGTAAGATTAAAGTGGCGACTGGCCCTGCCCCATTCCTTGGCTTTTTGAGAGTGCAGCTTCATGGTGGAGGTACTGGTGGGAGCCCTGCTTATTGCAACAACTCTTTAAGGTTTCTAGGTCCATGCCCCCACCGAGAAGCATGCCCCCAGCTACTCTTAAGCACCATTTGATTGTTTGGCAGTATAGCCTCTTAACAGAGGCAGGAGGATCTCTGTGAGTTCAAGAACAGCCTGGTCTACAGTGTGATTCCAGGACAGACAGGGCTACACAGAGAAACTCTGTCTTGAAAACCCAAAAAACAAACAAAGAGAAAACAACAACAACAACAAAACTGTCCTTTTTTTATTTTTTATTTATTCTTTTGCTGCTAATGCTGAACCAGGGAACTTGTCTTTAAGTTTGTCTCTAGCAAACAGAGCCCACCTGAGAAAATGCAGCTACCAAGAAACTGTGCTTGATTCTGTTCTTTTGTTTTCAGAATCTCTTTTTAAGCTTTTGCAGGTTTTCTTGAAAATTTCGTGGAAATTCTTGCCAAACGCTTGGGAGCCACACATGGTCAGAGAATGCCCTACTTGAAGACAGAAGTTTCTGTCCTGCCTGGTCACACTGCTGTTTAATTCCAAATAAACACACAGAGACTTATATTAATTACAAACTGTTTGGCTGATGGCTAAGGCCTCTTATTGGCTAGTTCTCTCTTAATAACCCATATATATTAATCTGTGTATCTCCACATAGTCTTGGTGTACTGGTGAAGCCCAGGTCTCTTTTTTCTTTGTCAGCTAAATAGTGTCTCCCTTGCCATTCACTCTGTCTCCCTCCTGGAATTCTCCTAATTTGGTAGCCCCGCCTAAACTTAAACAGCTTTATTCATCAATCAATAAGAGAAATATATATTCCCAACATGCAGAAGGACATCCCCCGTCATTAAGGTGTGCCACAAAGGACTCTTTTTCATTTGCAGTGTGGTAGTCTTTGCTGGATTCTGGTGAGGATGAATTATCATGCATATGAAGTTATGCAAAGAACATACCATTTATTCACAAGTTCATAATATAATAAAGTCCCCTTTGAGCATGTTATCAATGCTCACTTCAATATTAATGAAAATACTTTTTTACTTAAAAGTTATAAAGAAAACTTGGAGGTTAAGAGAAAACACATTGGTGGTTTGACTAGCTGTCTCGAGGAAACATTTGACTGCTCAGTATTGACCATGGGTTCCAGTTGAATAGCTTCCTCTGTTTTGTGCATGACCATTTCCATATCACAGCAAAAGATGAAAATGTGAAATTCTAAGTAACTTGGTTATCTGCAGAAGAGATTGAAGAAATTTAAATATCAAGAATTGAGTGAATTACTCTGATTTGGAAAGGAGCTAATTATTTACATAATGTATACATTGATGCACACTTATTTTGCTCCATAGAAATCTTAAAAATAAGAATATTGGAGGTTAGGAATGCTTGTTGTTCTACCAGAGAACTTGAGTTCAGTTCCCAGCACTAATGTCAGGTGACTCACATCTGCCTGTGACTCCATCTTCTGGCTATCTGATGCCTTTCTCTGGCTTCCTTAGGGACTTGTACATATGTGGCACACACACAGACTCATAAACATACACATAAACAAATGTACACAGGGCTTGGTGGCACTCATTTTTAATTTCAGCACTTGGGAGGTAGAGACAGATCTCTGTGAGTCATAGTGTGTTCCAGGTCAACAGTGGCTACATAATGAGACCTTGTCTAAAAAGAAAAGTCTAGAAGGTGAAAGGAAAGAAAGCTAAAAAATGGGAACCTATGAGATGGGTTGTTTGGCAAAGGTGCTTGCCAGCAAGCCTGAGGATCCGTGTTCCATCCCAGGAACCCATATGTTGGGAGAAGAGCTCCTGCTGCTGCAAGTTGTTGTTTGACCTCCACCATTGCTAACTAGTGTACATAGTAGTATATATCACTCTAGTATAACTTGCATGAGGTTTTTGAAAGAGTACAGAGGAAATGAAGATTGAAATTCATATTTAAATATCATTTTAAGTTATACATTTTAGCATCTACAAGAACTCATTCAAAAGCCTTACTTTACACCACTATGTACTAATCAGAAAGAACTAATTTACCTTACGATGTCACTCATTCAGTTATACTTGTTTGGTGGCTACTATGTCTCAGGTGTGGTATGGAGGACACCAACAGTATTAGGATTGAGATCCCTTCCCTCAGGTACAGTTTAGTGGAAGAAGGGGGATTTAATGACTTAAAATCACACAGAGGTTAGGTTTGCAATCACGTTTGGCATTGAGAACCATGCCTAATCTAGAATGAAATGACATGTTTGGAGGCAGCGAAGGTGTCTTTGGAGATGTGTAGATCACTGGAAGAGAGGAAGACTTGGAGAATACGACTGATACAGCTGGTCAGTTTCCTGACTGGAAGGAAGCAGATAGTTCTGGTGGCTTGTGTGAAATGCAGGGTTGGAATAAAAGTTGGCTGGAATGGCAGAGCACAGAACAGGCAAAAAGAAAAAGAAAAAAAAAAAAAAAAGGCTGGGCCAGAAAGATGGCTCAGTGGGTAAAAAGTGGTAACCAGAGTTCAGCCCCCAGAACCCACGTGGAGATGGAGGGAGAGGACCAACTCCAGAGTGACCTTCTGGCTCCCACACTCCTCCCTCCGTCCCTCCCTCCCTCCCTCCCTCCTTCTCTCTCCCCATCTCATACACACACACACACACACACACACACTCACACACACACACACACACACACACACACGCGCGCGCGCGCGCGCACACACACACACACACACACACACTCCTGTGATAAAGAAGAGAACCCATGACCAAGAGGCCTCTTAAAAGAGCCTCCGTTTCCAAGATTGAGAGGAAGCAGCCAGTTGAGGAATATGCGTGGCACCCTGAGCCATTTGAGACAGAGATATGTATGTCTTTGGGAAAATCTTCCTCAACCCTTTGTCATCTTTTGCGCCCCAGTTACTTCTTCAGATTGTAACATTTCCCTCGAATTTTCTGTAGTTAAAATATAATGGCATCATTTTACCCCTTCTCTTCTCACCCCTCCAGCCCTTCCTGCGTCTCCCCTGACCCCCTCTCAAATGCAGGCCTGTGTTTCTCTGTGACATAAATGCATAAACAGCCTGTCGGGTCTGTGTGCTGCTGCTGGTGTGTGCATGGTTTCCGGGCTGACCGCTTGGTGGGCTGATAGATTTGGGAGCGCTTGCTCAGGAAGGCTGTCTCTCCTTCAGCAGTGCCATTCGCATGTTGTTCTTTGTCGAGGGTGGGGCCGCCTGGGGTTTCCACACGAGACAGTTCTAGTCAGTGTGGAACCTCACTCTCTCTGCTGTGCTTCCGGTTTGAAGTGAGTTTTATGCTTGGAAAACGGGGGAAAGCAAGAGTGGGTTCTCCAGGACTGCCCGAGGTGTTGGAGAGGAAAGAGCAAGCGTGGGGCGAGAGAGAAGGGAGGAAGCGGTGGGCAGGCAAGTTAGGCCGTGTGATGTAGGGAACACCGGCAGTTTCTGGTAAGAGCTTTACTGCAGCACACATACACACACACACACACACACACACACACACTCACACACTCACACACACACACACCATACACACCACAACACGTACACACTCACATACACACTCACACACATACACACACCACACACTTACACACATACACACTCACACACACATACACACTCACACACACCACTCACACACTCACACATAAACACATATCACATACATACACTCACACATGCATACACACCACACACACACACCACTCACACTCAAACACACACATACATACACACACACATTTATATTTCTCTCTCCTCTGTAGTGAGTAGTTCTGACTCCTAACCTTTCTTCCTACAGCTCAGTTCTTTTGGCTAGACCTGTGGTCACTTCCGTGAGACTTCACTGCACACTTTCTCAAGCGTCTTCCTCATCCTCAATTGTGTAACTCCTCACCATGGACCTGCTCCTTTAGTGAGACATGACCAGCAATGATAGTGGTAAGGTATGACTGCTTTCCTCTTATTAAATTGCTGACCTTTGACTTTTGGCTTGGCCTCTGAACCTGTAATAGTTTTGTGTTAACATTTTAGTACTCTTTATATTAGAGTATTGTACTTTATGATAGATTATTATACTTCAGAAGGCTACTGTCATTTCATGAGTAGTTTATTTTTGCTTGTCATTTATCTTAATACATTTTGCATATGGCACTTGTGATCTGATTATTTTTTCAGCTAATACTGTTGATTGGCAGAATCCCAATCCCTTTATTGCTTCTTTGGTCTGTGTGCCTACCAGTCCTATGTCTTCAGATGCCCGACACCAAACTCAGCAATGCTTTACTTCTTGTTCTGTTCTGTTTGTATGTCTGTGTTTTCAGAAAGACTCTGAAGTGATACGAGATTAAACTCATAATTAATTAAAAGCTATATAAAACTCATTGTTTTGGAAAAGCTTTAGTAAAGCACTAACTAATATGTATTAAAAATATGGTGGTCATGGTGATGCATACCTTTAACCCCAGCACTCAGGAGGCAGAGGCAGGGGATCTCTGTGAGTCAAACATACACATATTAATATAACATACTTGGATCCTGTTTACCCTCTGTTACTCTCTCTTATCTTTATTCTCAGAGGAAGGAAATTTTGCTTGAGGTACGAGGATCCTCGATTTGGAAATGTCACCAAGGAACTGAACAGTTTCCTTCTGTTTCTCTGAGACTCATGGATACGGGAATGGAGATGATATAAGTTTCATTTCCTGCTGCTGTGATAAAATAGCATGGCAAAAGCAATTTAGGGAGTTTATTTTAGGTTAAAATTCTAGTTTATTCTAGGTTAGAATTAGAGGCCATCCTAGGTCACGGTGGGGCAGGAGCTTGAGGGAGTTGGTCGTGTCACAGAGCAGTGAGTGCATACAGGCTAGTGCTTGGCTTCCCTTTTCCAGTCTTCTGCAGTTCAGGGCCACCTGCCGAGGGATTGTTGCTGCCCTCAGTGGGCACATCCTCCTAACTCAATGAAAGCAATCCAGATGATCCCTCACTGACACTCCCATAGGAGACCCTAATCTAGACAGTCCCTCACTTAGACTCTCCAGATGACTGCATTGTGTCATGGTGGCACTTAAGATTAAGCACAGAAGATAACACTTCCACCCCGAGATCCTTTTATATGGACTCTTGGAGTTGTAGGTTAGAGGTTTGGGAAAGCTGGTTTATAATCGCTGTGGAATCCTAGGGCCCCTGTGCAGATGTCTACAATTTTGGATTAAAGTAGAAGTATGAGGCTTTAACAAGGGGGTGGGTGGATTTGGAGATTAGATTTTTCTTTTTGCTAAAAGACTGACTGAAAAAGTCCAGCATGGAAGGACCTCTGAGCACTAGTGTAGTGTTGGTTTTCCTGAGCCCAGCTCTCTGGAGGCTGGGGACTGCCATGGCCTTCTCGTCTCACCCTAGCAGATAGATGTGCCTTCCTTGGTTGCCACTTCCTTGGAGTGTGCCTCTGCTGAGCTCTTTCCAAGTGCAGGGGCCTTTGGAAGCTATTCTCACTCTTTGCTGATGGAATGAAGCTCTTGAAAAGTAGAAATGTGTTTGGACTTAATTTGAAAGCTGCTCTCTTTTGTAATTGACCATGTCAGGCGGAAAGGTTGAAGGGCATCTAGATAGCTGCATATCTGGAGTTTCGAGCATATGAGGTCTTATGCCATACCTTATCTTTCAAGCCTTTCCGGTGCTGTTTCCACTTACACTTAAGTAGCCTTCCTGCCTTTCTGCTTTTGTGTCCTCGATTGAATTAGAACTTGTACTGAAGAGTAACTCTTCTGCATTTACTCTTCCATCTTTCGTCTTTGTACTCTCTCATGGTTTTTAGTATCAGCTACTTTTCAATAAGTCCCTGAGTTGCCTGATGTACCATTCATCCCATGTAACCCTACCAAGCTCTGATGATAGGGATATGCCAGGAGGGTAACTAAAGTACATCATTGCTGCATGGTAGGGTTGAACCTAGCACTTCCTCTTCCAAAGCCACTCCCCACGTAGAAAGATAAACACGTTCTACTGCTGTACTTCTCTTGTTAACGCCACTCGAAGGTTACTGAAAGACTTGCTTCCTCTGTCTCTCCTACCTCGGTTTCCCCTTTCTCCTGCCGTCCTCCCTCTCTCCAGGGCTGGACACAGGACCTGGCCCATGTGCTCTGCCAGCTCCATTCTTCCCTAAGTCTTTCTTGTGTCTTGTACTTAGCTGTGCTGCTTTTCCCTCTTTCTTTTCATAGCATACTTTATATTCAGTCATGCTCGCCTTCCCATGTTGGTTGGAAGAGTGCTGTCGTCCTTCCTGAGGAGCCCGTGTTTGTGTACACACATTGAATTTACGTTTGTCTCTCTCCGTAACCTTATTCATCATGGTGTTTCTGTTACTAAGACATGTGTGTGACAAATAGGTGCTCAGTATGGGTTTGCCGATTGACTTTTGTCAGCTAGATTGCTATTACTGTGATCTCCTTGTTTTACTTTTCTGTAAGTTGTCTGAAGGCTGTACTCATGATTTTATTTACCTTTATGTTCCTGATAATTATTTCTTGTGGTTACACAATAAATGCCTATTGACGCATATCAATTCCTTTAAAAATTCTGCTAATAATTCTGCTCTCTTCAGTTGTAGATATTACTATTTCATATACATTTCTTGACCTAATGATGCACCAGTTACATTAAGAGCAAAGACATTCTTCGTTTAGTTAGACTTCCCAGGGAGAGATTGTGGTCCACTAAAGCAGTTCAGATAGGCTAGCCAGGCCACAGATCTTTACATGGAAATATCATTTCCAAACAGAAAGCTTAGCAGAAATTTAAGACGCAGTATTCTGTCCATGACATGGCCTAGTAATTGGTAGTGAATGGCACCGTCTTTGTCGTTATGTGAAACTGTCTTTCTGTGTCCTGCCAGCCAGCTCCCAAATAGCCACATGGAAACTTATTATTAATTATGAAAGCTTGGTCGATAGCTTAGACTTGTTTCTAACTAACTCTTCTAACTTAAATTAGCCCATTTCTATTGATTTATGTGCTGCCGTGTTGCTCATGGCTTGTTACCTCATCTCTTATACGTCATGCTTCCTATGAGTCTGACTGGCGACTCTGCCTTCTTCCTTCCAGTGTTTTCTCTGTTGCAAAAATCCTGCCCTGAACTATGTCACTTACCCATACTTGTGTTACACAGCTTCAGGAGCTTATTTGCCAACCTCCAATGGTATACTTGATTCAGTCTCTTTAGCAATTTTAGATAAAGGAAAAATACTTAAAAACAAAACAATAAAACATCTGTGTTAAAATAAGTTTCCCTAATTTGAGAGAGAATACTCAGTATAGATTAAACTTTCTTTATGCCATTAAAATGTGCCAGGCTGTTTGCCAAGCATAGGTGCACGCCTCTAATCCCGGCTCTTGGGAGTCAGAGACAGGTGGATCTCTGTGAGTTTGAGAGTAGCCTGGTCTACATAGTGAGTTCCAGGACAGTCAGAAGTACATAGTGGTACCCTGGCTCAAACATATACATGAATAAGTAAAAAAATAAAATACAGCATCCATGCATTCATTTCATTCTTTTCTTAATCCCTTCTCTCCTCCCCTCCCCCAGTTCCTCTTCTTTTTATACGGTATCATATGTATCCCAGGCTGGCTTCAGAGTTGCTATGTAGTTCTTATTCTCCTGCCTCAAACTCCTAAGTACTTGGATTATTGTAGTGCATTCCATAATGCTCAGGACAACCAATATTTCTGTCTTTGTATTTGCAGAATGTAAAAGTTCACAGTTATAGAGTCAAAATATTTGAGAAATAGGATGCATTTTAGAACAGATACTTGCGTGTATCTGTATATTCATAAGATATTACCATTGAGATTTTGTCATCCTGTAAAGAAACTGTTATCTCTTTTACATTTTGCTATCTAATAACTTTCATTCTGTTTATGAAATCTGTATATGTGGATATATTCTATGAAAATTAAGCTAATTTTCAAAAACAGCATTTTTAATGATTCTTTAAAAGTTTTAATTTAATCATTGTTTATGGAAGAATGCAACCTCAAGTTGGAGACAAATAAAATAGATGTAAATAAATAGGTTAAACAAATCCAAACTATCCAGCAGTTTAGTAAATTTATATGTTTCACTTGTTATAAACTTGTTTCTTACAAGGAGATAACATTGGGGTGAGGCTGTAGCTTAGTTGTTAGCATGCTTGCCTAGTATGCAGGAAGCCCTGGGTTTAATCCCCAGAACTGCATAACTGAGCATACTGCATGCATGTGATAACAGTTCTGCAGATAGAGACAGGAAGATCAGATGGTCAAGGCTGTTCTCAGCTATATAGCAAGGTGAAGCTCAGTCTGGGCTACATGAGACCTGGTTTTTATTTTCTTTCTTTTTTAAAGATGACTTTGATAACAACATACATACATACACTTTTTTTTTTTTTGTTTTTTCGAGACAGGGTTTCTCTGTATTGTTTTGGAGCCTGTCCTGGAACTCTGTAGACCAGGTTGGTCTCAAACTCACAGATCCCCTGCCTCTGCCGCCCCCCCCCTTCCTGAATGCTGGGATTAAAGGTGTGCGCCACCAACATCTGGCCATATATATGCTTTTCTATAACATCCTGTTACTTCCTGATTTGTAGTTGATATCCAGTAAATTATATATATATTTAAAGGAAAATTTATATTATGTGTATATGTCAGTGTGGAGGGCAGAGGTATCTGGTTCCTTGGAGCTGGAGTTAAATATGATTATTTGCTACCTGGTGGGTGCTAGGAATTGAACTTGGATACTCTGTGAGAGTGGACATGCTCTCAACTTCTTAGCTAGGGCTCCAGCCCCTAAATTTTACAGATTTCTAGCCTGTGTAATAACCTAAGCCCCAGTGGTATACAAATGGAAGGTCAGTGTGCTCTTTTTCACATAGTAGTAGTGTAAAGGAAGACATAGACTGCATGAAGAGTTAAA